GGGTGGAGCCTCGCTGAAGAAGGACCCAAAGGATGAATGAAAGTTAATGAGGAGGCAGGAGGGGCAGGAAGCCCTATTCTAGGTGGGGGGACAGTAAAAATAGGGCCCTGGGGCAGGAAGAACAGGAAAGGAAGACTGTCACAGGACCAGGGAAAGCCCCAGACCTGAAGGCAGCGAGCAGAAGGCAGAGGCCAGATAACCAAGACTTTGGAGGTTACAGTGAGGATTTGGGTCGTTCCTCCTATGGACAAAACTCCTTGAAAGAGTTTTAAGCAAGAGAGTAGTAGTAAGATCTGGCACCAGGGGGAGCCAACAGAAGAGATCCCTTCCCCCACCGGCCCCAGCCTAGCACCCCCATCCTCTCCCATCTGAGCCTCTGACCTGCATCTTCCTGGAGACTGGAAAACCACAGCTCCAACTGCTTAGTGCTGGGGGAGAGAGGAGGGAACAGAAGTTCAAGGAGGTGGAGGACTCCAGCCCCCTGTGGGTGGAGGATGGGAGATAAGACTGGAAGAGGGAAGGCCTTCTCTGGGGACATGGGGCACCCACCATGTGTCCCACCCATGACACTCCTGCCAACCCCAGGCCATGGGAGGGATGCCAGAAAGAAGGCCACTCACTTGAGGAGGCCCAGGATGAAGGCGTGGAAGCGACTACGGCTGCTTCTTAGCAGGGCCAGACGGCTGACCTGGCCATACAGGGTTCCGAGGGAACGGGCGCTGGAGCCTGAGGACACAGGGCGCAGTCAGCCAGGCCCAGTCCCTGCCCCAGTCCCTGCCCCTGCCCGCCCAGCCCCACACTCTCCCCGCTTCACCTGTCTTCACAGACGCCTCCACCACGCTCCAGGGGCTGCTCCGGCGCTGCCCAGTGATGAGGTCTTTCCGGAAAGGCTTCAGCCCATCGGCCACCAGGGCATGGAGGGCCGGACAAAGGGTGGTCAGCACGAGGTGCCCCACATCTGGGCTCAGACGGCTATCCCCCAACTGGGCCTGGAGGCAGTGCAATGGGCATGGGTCCAGAGATACCTCCAGCCTTCTCCCCGCCGATTGCTCCTGCACCTCAGAGCTACATTCACCTCCTCAACCCCAACGCCCTTCCCACAGGCACCTTCACCTTCTGCACTAAGTTCCGGGCGGCCCCAAAGTGCGAGATGATTTTATCCACTGAAGCGCTGACGGCTATCAGGAGACCTGGGTGGGGGCCAGGGAAGGGAAGAAGCGTCAAAGCCCCCTGTCTCTCCCTAGGCAAACCCCAAGGGACTTGGAGAGCCGGGTTTACACAATTTGACCCTGAGAGAGGAGGGCCTAAGCAAGGGGAAGTTGATTCCCAAACCAAGGGTCAGAAGTCAGGGTGTCCTACCTTTTTTCTGCTCCTGCAGCTGGCCAGTCCCACTCTGGGCTTCTGCCATCCACAGTCGCTGGTCCCCGGGGACGCCGGTGAACGACCAGGAACTACGGACTGGGGTAAGGGAAGAAGAAGGCAGTGACACTTACCAGGGGTTACCCCCAAGGACTCCAGGCTTCCACACGGGTCATCTCCCGCGGGTCTGCAGCATCCCTGCCCTTGAAGTCTTGGGAAAGGGAGCACAGGGCTGGGTGGAGCATAGGGCAGCCCGACCCGGGCTCCCAGAGTGAAATCCTGCACATATCTCAGCACTGCCATCCTGCTCCCCACTTCCCGGTTCCTATTTCCCTTCCTCACGGCCCAGCTCCTCGATCCCGGAAGTCCCGACGTGGGGCAGCCGCGCTCGCCTCCCGCCTGCCAGGCAGGGGCCTGTAAGGCGGGAGGTGACAGGGCGAGGGAAGGGAGGGGCAGCCTTGTGCCCACCGCCCGGGGCCCTTGTCAGGTCTGCAGGGACCCAAGGAGCACGTGGGGAGCCTGGACCAATGGAAAGACAGACAGACGGGAAAGGGAGGAGAGACAGGGGGAGAGGAGACCCAAGGATTGGGAGGCTGGAAGGCGCCGGAAAGGGGAAACCGGGGTCCTGCGCCAGCATCTCGGAGGAGGGCGCCCGCTGCAGCCCACGTGGGGCTGGCCCCATGGAGAAGGAGTGACCAGAACCCCCTCAGCCAATGAGCTCAGCGAACTTCACCCTCTACCCTTCCCGAACAAGGTGGGGATCAGGCTCGAAATGCACTGGCCAGAGAATTCCACAGAGGGTGTGACCCAAGGTCCTTACCAATGGACTTGCTGGGACTCCCTTAAAAGCATGAAAGCCTGCTAAGCCCGTATCCACTATGCCCGGGCCTCGAGGGAGAGTGGCCGGGCCACGAAGCGGGGAAAGCAGCAACCTTTGCCCAGTACAGGAAGCCAGCAGGGCCAGACTCCCCAGTACCAATGAACTTAGAATCCGCCCAGGTTTGAAGGGCAGGACCCAGAGTAGGTCTGGGCGAGGATGGGTGGGGCTTTGGAGCGGGCGGGGCAGCCCCGCCTGAGGCGTCGCCCGCGGGGCTGGCCCGGGTCCTTCTTACGTAGCCTGGGAGGAGGCGGTGGGCTCCTGGTCCAGCGAGGGGCCTTCGGCGGACGAGGTGGCCGTGGCAGCGGGGGGGCGGGTACCTGGCGGAGTGGGGAAGCCGCGGCGGGGAAGGTGCTACTTCTGGGAAAGAGCGGGGACAGCAGCAGTGCCAGCTCAGGGCTGGCCAGGCAAGGCAGGTCCCCCCTAGCCGGAGGCGAATAGGCCCCCACCGGGGACAGGCGGACAGGCAGCAGCTGCTCCTCTGGGGGACTCGGCGCCCCCAGTAGCCGCAGCCCAGCGCCGGGCCAGCCGGCCAGAGGCGCCAGGAGCAGAGACCCAGCTGCGGCCGCGCCCCCACCCTCCAACAGGGGGCGCCCGTCAGCCGAGAACCGGAAAACCAGAGGCCGAGGGAGCGGGAGGGGACCGGCTGCAGGCAGGATTGGCGGGGGAGGTGCGGAGGGGAAGGAGGCCAGCGGGATGGGCAGCCAGGCAAGGAGGGGCGGGAGAAAGAGGGAGCAAAGAGTTAGTCCCGTAACCCAAGGACCCACCCAGTTTCCCTTTCCCGGAGCGCTCCCTGGTAGAAGGGGACGGGAAGGATGGGTGACACAGAATGGAGGGGAGACAGGGGGTCAGGTTGGAAGCTTTGGAGGTGTGGGCGAGGCCAAAGCCCAGCCCTCCTCTCTCTACCTCCTGTCTCCTGTGGCCTCTTACCCTCAACGCCGGCCTGCGGGCCTGGTTCCTCCGGCTCCTTTGCCGCTGGGGCCTCCTCACCAGCAGCTGGGCTCCCCGCCCTTCCCTCTTCGGGCTGCCCCTCTGCTATGGGCTGCAGCCCAGGTCGGTTCTTCTTCCTCCGTGGAGGGACGGGTGGAGGTGGGGGTCGGGGCGGGACCAAGGCCCAGCCAGCTGGG